CCACCATGCCCGGCTAATTTTTTCTATATATATTTTTAGTTGTCCAGCTAATTTCTATTTTTTTTGTAGAGATGGGGTCTTGCTCTTGCTCACGCTGGTCTAGAACTCCTGACCTCGAGCAATCCTCCCACTTCGGCCTCCCAGAGGGTTAGGATTACAGGCGTGAGCCACCGCACCTGGCCGGAAGTGTTTTTACAATTCTAGTTTTCACTTGGGCAAGTTTTTCCTAGGGTAGGTCTGCTACCTGGGGAACTCCTGGGGTCACTGCTTTCAACCTACTGACCTTTATTCTGCCCTCCTTTCCAAGAAGAAAATGGAGACTGGGAACTGAGGAAACAGTAAGGCATTTTTTCCCCCAACAAGTCTGTCCTACATTGTGCATTTAATAATGCTCAAACACCTTCAATGACTCCCCATTTCCTATCAAATAAAGTGTAGTTCTTTTATGTACAATTCAAGATCCTCAATAAATATGTTCCTAACTGAGAGTTTTAGCTCTCTGTGTCCCCCTCTCCCATATAATCTCGTGGTCAAACTAAACAGTTAATGCTCTACCTGACAGAGGTTTCTCCCTGCCATACCTTACAGTCGTTGCTAGAAAAATCTCTCCATCCCCTATCCTTGACCTAAATGGAAACCATAACCATTTTTCAAGGTCATGGGCTAGGGCATCACTTTCTGACCACAGATGCTATACTGTGTCACCCCTTGTCCCACACCATGGGCAAAAGACTATGAACTGTGGAAAGGGAGGATCCTAGCCTAATTAGTATGCTTAGCCCTTAGACATCCTCAGAGAACACCTTGCCCAGATTGGAAATTGAGTGAATGTATGAAGTAGTTAACTAATTTTTTGTCCCATCACTTTTCATATATCAGAAAGTCTTTGGAGGTATGGTTGCCAGATTTAGCAAATCAAAGTAAAGGATGCCCAGTTATATTTGAATTCCAGATAATCAATGAATACTTCTTTTAGTATAAGTATGTCCCATAAAGTGTTTGCAACATACTGAAAATATTCATTGTTTATATGAAATTCATTTTTTTTTTTTTTTTTAGAAATAGGGTCTTGCTTTGTTGCCCAGGCGGGAGTGCAGTGGCATGACCATAGCTCACTGCAGCCTCTAACTCCTGGACTCAAGTGATCCTCCTGCCCTCAGCCTCCCGTAGCTGGGACTACAGGCGGGAGCCACTGTGTCCGGCTAATTTTTTATTTTTTTTGTAGAGATGGGGTCTTGCTATGTTGCTCAGGCTGGTCTCGAACTCCTGGCCTCAAACAATCCTCTTGCCTTGGCCTCCCAGAGTGTTAGGATTACAGGCGTGAGCCACTGAGCCCGGCCTGAAATTCAAATTTAACTGGGCGACCTGTGTTTTATCTGGCACCCTAAGTGGAGGGCAGGGGTTCCCGGAGTCGCCTGGCTTCCTCCCAGCAGGTGCTCAGCATCTGTGTTCTCGTTAGAGCAAAACCTGAACCAGCCCCGCCTTTCACAGCTGGCATCCGTAGGAGGGCGGAGGCACACGACCCGGAAAGACAGACACCCCGATTGCAGACCGTCACTCGACACTAACCAAAGGGTCTGCACCCGAGAGGCAGCCCCACCCCGTGGGTTCTCGGGACCCCTCGACTGGCTCTGTCACCCACTCTGACCACCCGCCCTACCCTCCGTCTCGTGACCCGTCTTCGCGGACTGGAGGGGCGGGACTGCCCGGCTTTTAAATTGCTGCCTACCATTGGCAATGCCTTCCATCCATTACTTTAGGCCCCGCCCATCAGACTGACGTTTCCCGGCCTGCGTCTCTCCCGTAGTCGCGGCGTAGCTGACGATTGGTGGAGAAGGCGGCGGCTGTCCTGGTGGAGGCGACGAAGGGGCGGGCTCCGGGAGTCCGGACGAGCCCGAGCGCGTCAACCCCTCGCGCTGAGGTGGTGGCTTGTGTCCCGCCGGCCCACTCCGTGTCGCCCCGCGCTGCTGTGGCCGCCGCGGCACCATGGCTCTGTTCGTCGTGCTCCTGTCCTTGCTGGTGGCGGGTGAGGAGCCGGAGGGCGGGCTGGGCGTGCTCTGGAGGCCCTATGCCACTGGGCTTGGAGGTCGGGGGCGGCCGCGGGAGGGTGGCAGCGGGGCAGGTGCCGCAGTGCGGGCAGCCAGTGGCGGCCTCGCCTCAGCCGCCTCCCTCTCGGCGTCTTCTCCGGATCAGCCTGTGGCTGCGCGGCCTGACCGGCCGCCGGGCCCGGGGCTGGGCTGCGTGGTGGGGTTGGGGGGAGTCCTGGGCCGGCCTCCACCCTCCGCCTCTTTGAGGAAGACTGGTTCGCAAGCCGCGCCGCCGACCTCTTGTCAGCCTGGCCTCTTCCGGCTCGAGAGGCCCTTCGGAGGACCGGGGTGCATTTCTCAATGAAGTGTTGAACCGCAGTCCTCTGGGAAGAAGAGAAGGCAACCTTCTTAGCTGCCACTGGCTGCCGCGATTTTTTGCATTTGTATGGTGTCTTCATGTCTAGTTGTTGTCATCAATAATCGGTGAAATCCCTTCTCCCTTGTATGTATTTCACGATGCAAAAGTTGAGATGGAGACATTGTTTTTATGTAATTATTTCTTAAGGCGAATACAAAGCACCTCTCAATGGTTTGTCACACTTCCCAATTTTAAGGATTTGGAAACTAGGATGAGTCATGTCCTTAGGGTCACATGTCAGTAAATGGTAGCTTTCTAAGTGGAACCTAGGTTCCCTAGCATTCAGCAAGAGAAGTGGAAGTCAGCTAATGTTTGGCTTCTTACTATATATCATGTGATAATGCATTTCATTTTACAGCAATCCTTAGAAGAGAGTATCATCTTCATTTAGAAGAGTGATCAAGCCTAAATAAATTACCCAACACCAAACAGGTAGTAAGTAGCAAAGATGGATTTGAACCCAGAT